GATGGATGATGGATGGATGGATGGATGGATGATGGATGGATGGATGGATTGATGGATGATGGATGGATGGATGGATGGATGGATGATGGATGGATGATGGATGGATGGATTGATGGATGGATGGATGGATGGATGGATTGATGGATGATGGATGGATGATGGATGGATGGATTGATGGATGGATGGATGGATGGATGGATGGATGGATGGATGGATGGATGATGGATGGATGGATGGATGGATGGATGATGGATGGATGGATGGATGATGGATTGATGGATGGATGGATGGATGATGGATTGATGGATGGATGGATGGATGGATTGATGGATGGATGGATGGATGGATGGATGGATGGATGGATGGATGATGGGTGGATGGATGGATGGATGGATGATGGATGGATTGATGGATGGATGGATGGATGGATGGATGATGGAAGGATGGATGGATGGATGGATGGATGGATGGATGGATGATGGATGGATGGATGGATGATGGATGGATGATGGATGATGGAAGGATGGATGGATGGATGGATGGATGGATGATGGATGGATGGATGGATGATGGATGGATGGATGGATGGATGATGGATGGATGGATGATGGAAGGATGGATGGATGGATGGATGGATGGATGGATGGATGGATGGATGGATGATGGATGGATGGATGGATGATGGAAGGATGGATGGATGGATGGATGGATGGATGGATGGATGATGGATGGATGGATGGATGGATGGATGATGGATGGATGGATGATGGATGGATGGATGGATTGATGGATGGATGGATGGATGGATGGATGGATGGATGGATGGATGGATGGATGATGGATGATGGATGGATGGATTGATGGATGGATGGATGGATGGATTGATGGATGATGGATGGATGGATGGATGGATTGATGGATGGATGGATGGATGGATGGATGGATGGATGGATGGATGGATGGATGGATGGATGGATGGATGGATGGATGATGGATGGATGGATGATGGATGGATGGATTGATGGATGGATGGATGATGGATTGATGGATGGATGGATGATGGATGGATGATGGATGGATGGATTGATGGATGATGGATGGATGGATGGATGGATGATGGGTGGATGGATGGATGATGGATGGATTGATGGATGGATGATGGATGGATGGATGGATGGATGGATGGATGGATGATGGATTGATGGATGGATGGATGGATGGATGGATGATGGATGGATGGATGGATGGATGGATGGATGGATGGATGGATGGATGGATGGATGGATGGATGATGGATGGATGGATGATGGATTGATGGATGGATGGATGGATGGATGATGGATGGATTGATGGATGGATGATGGATGGATGGATGGATGATGGAAGGATGGATGGATGATGGGTGGATGGATGGATGGATGATGGGTGGATGGATGGATGGATGATGGATGGATGGATGGATGGATGGATGATGGATGGATGGATGGATGATGGATGGATGGATGATGGATTGATGGATGGATGGATGGATGATGGATTGATGGATGGATGGATGGATGGATGGATGGATGGATGGATGGATGATGGATGGATGGATGGATGGATGGATGATGGATGGATGGATGATGGATGGATGGATGGATTGATGGATGGATGGATGGATGGATGGATGGATGGATGGATGATGGATGATGGATGGATGGATTGATGGATGGATGGATGGATGGATTGATGGATGATGGATGGATGGATGGATGGATTGATGGATGGATGATGGATGGATGGATGGATGGATGATGGATGATGGAAGGATGGATGGATGGATGGATGGATGGATGGATGGATGATGGAAGGATGGATGGATGGATGGATGGATGGATGATGGATGGATGGATGGATGATGGATGGATGGATGGATGGATGATGGATTGATGGATGGATGGATGGATGGATTGATGATGGATGGATGGATGGATGATGGATGGATGGATGGATGGATGGATGGATGATGGATTGATGGATGGATGGATGATGGGTGGATGGATGGATGATGGATGGATGGATGGATGGATGGATTGATGGATGGATGGATGGATGATGGATGGATGGATGGATGGATGATGGGTGGATGGATGGATGATGGATGGATTGATGGATGGATGATGGATGGATGGATGGATGATGGATGGATGGATGGATGATGGATGGATGGATGGATTGATGGATGGATGATGGATGGATGGATGGATGGATGGATGATGGATGGATGGATGGATGGATGGATGATGGGTGGATGGATGGATGGATGGATTGATGGATGGATGATGGATGGATGGATGGATGGATGATGGAAGGATGGATGGATGGATGGATGGATGGATGGATGGATGGATGGATGGATGGATGGATGGATGGATGGATGGATGGATGGATGATGGGTGGATGGATGGATGATGGATGGATTGATGGATGGATGATGGATGGATGGAAGGATGGATGGATGGATGGATGGATGATGGATGGATGGATGGATGGATGATGGATGGATGGATGATGGATGGATGGATGATGGAGAGGAGAGCGGGGGTGTTTGATGGGTTTGCTGTATTTGTTTTTCAGAGTGAAGCGCTGCAGAGCGGAGCAGGTCTCTGACAGTCTGACGGGATGATTGGGAGCATCCAGCTCTGACTCACGCTCCCTTTCTCCTCCCTCAGGTCTCTGAACACAGAATAACGGCCAGAATAACAAGACAAGTCTAATCCTGCTGCCGCGTCTTTCCCTCCGTCTGCCGCTCACTATCACTTTCTCTCACTGCACTTGTTTCTTCTTGCCCCTGCTTTCACAGGAAGTTTCACTCCTGGGAGGGTGGAAGGAAGTGGAGGACTGGTCCGTACTGCTGCCGGTCCGTTAACTGGTTAGTTAGCTCCTTAGTTAACTAGTTAGTTAGTTAGTTAGTAGGCTGGTTGGTTGATTAGCAGCTCAGCTTTCAGTTCAGGGAATCATGTTGTTGTTCCAGCTGATCTGGAGTCATTCAGGAAGATTTCAGGAGATAAAAACAGAGGAAGATGGAGTCAGCGGTAAGTTCTGCTTCAGCTGATCGGCTCTGGTTTATAAATCTATGGTCCGTTTCTCAATCTGTGTACTTCTTGTTCTCGTGTCCTCGTGAAACACCATCAGCCTCAGCCCTAGCACTGTTCCAATTCACTAGAACAGCAGACAGGGAACGGACAAAGTCCTCAGATGTTGTTCTGGCCCCTCCCTCTTTACCCAGCATGCATCAGAGTAGACTTGTCCATTGTCCCAGCATGCACTGCGGCAGCAGCTTCCAGGTTAGCGCTCACAGAGCTCAGAGGATTAAGTTAAAAGTTCCCTTTTCCGTTGCTGTTGTTCAATAAAAGGTGAGAATATTATACTTTAAGCTTCACTAAATGGAACATTTTAAAAAGAATGTTCCGATAATGAGAGGACCGTGGCAACTAGCGGAGCTCAGAGGGTAGCCGCAGTGGCCAAGGCTAACGTTAGCCCGTCTGCAGCGGCCAGGGCTAAGGTTAGCCCGTTTGCAGTGGCCAGGGCTAACGTTAGCTCGTCTGCAGCAGCCAGGGCTAACGTTAGCCCGTCTGCAGCGGCCAGGACTAACGTTAGCCCATCTGCAGCGGCCAGGGCTAACGTTAGCCCGTCTGCAGCAGCCAGGGCTAACGTTAGCCCATCTGCAGCGGCCAGGACTAAGGTTAGCCCGTCTGCAGCAGCCAGGGCTAACGTTAGCCCGTCTGCAGCGGCCAGGACTAACGTTAGCCCATCTGCAGCGGCCGGGGCTAACGTTAGCCCGTCTGCAGCGGCCGGGGCTAACGTTAGCCCGTCTGCAGCGGCCGGGGCTAACGTTAGCCCGTCTGCAGCGGCCGGGGCTAACGTTAGCCCATCAGATACAGTTCAGTACTTTCCATTAGTTTTGTTTCTAATGTTGAACACTTTGATTCTCTTCCTCTCAGCTGTTCTCTATTACTTTTGTCTGTCTGGGGCTGCCGTACTTAATTCAATTCAATTCAGTTTATTTATATAGCGCCAAATTCACAACACATGTCATCTCAAGGCACTTTACAGTTCAACCAGATCATACAGTCAAATTGATACAAAGTTTTCTATCTAAGGAAAACCAGTTGATTGCATCGACTCAAATACAATCCCTCACACTAATCTTACTTATCGCCCCTCCGAGTTGTTGGAAGCTGGAATTAAACTTGCAGCCCTCGGGTCCTCAGGCTCCGACTCTTTGGACCAAGTCTGGACTGTTTGAGAATGGAACCAAATGAAACAGAACCCCCATATCACCACAGTCTGGTGAGGATCACTTCTAGCTCCTGGAACCCATCCTGAGGGGTCGAACCAGCTGAGAATCTTCACCAGCATATCTTCAACCACCGACTCGGTTCAGAAGAAGGTCCGGCAAAGACCTCTGGTCCAACCTCCCCTGAACTGCTGCTGGTCATCCAGGTAGCCATCATTCAGTCTTTCTTCCACTTCCAGGACTGGTCCAAATGGCAGCAATCAGTCAGGAGGCTGATCCGATCAGGAAAATGGCCGCTAACATCTCTGCAGAGCACACACATGGTGGACCTAACCTTTGACCTTCAGCTACAGAACGCTGTTTACTGACAGATACTTTCTGCTCCACCTCTGATGGTCCTTAAAGGTCAGAGGACCCAGACCTTCAGTCATCCAGGTCTTCTGCTTTCCAAGAACAACATTTTACAAAATCTTGACATTTTGAGATTGAGACTCAAAAATGTTCAGCGAAGCAGAATCAGCTGATGTGGTTTAAGCTCCTAATGCAGTGACCTGCTCTTACACTCCAGAACATTCTCGATGTTTCAGTGATTAGCCCCCAGGATGGCAGCATGGCTCCAGCGCTGCTGTTTGTGCTCGGCATGACTGAGCGTTGGGTAAACGTGGGCGTGCTGACTTCCTGCTCTGAGGAAACTCTTCTGACACAGGCGAACTGAAAGGTTTCACTTCTGGGGTTGATGTGGAAACACACACACGTCCGTTCCACCGCGTTCTGCTTCATCACGGTGATGCCGGGAGTTCTGCCTCCGCATCGCAGCAGGAACTGATTGATCAAACTCCGACTGCTGTCACAAGCCAAGCCAGTCTGAGGCTTTCCTCGTCAGGACGCTTGTTAATGAAACTCGTTTCACTTCAACCTGGAAGGTGAGAGGAAGATCTGAGACCAGGATGGTGAGTTTGATCAGTTCACGGTTACCATGAAAGCCTCTAAAGCTGAGCTGGACGTAAATACTTGTCAGTATTCAGGAATTCCCATAAATATTGAGAATACTTTCCTTCTATCAACTTTTCACAGCCAATCTGAATGGCGGGTCAGAAGCAGGGATCTTTATCCAGAAAACTAAGAAGCAAACGTGTTTTTGTCTTCCAGAGGTCATTAAGGAGGATTTAGTCAGTCTGGATTCAGAGGCTGCTTGTTGTTATCGACAGAATAATCAAACTGTGTAGATAAATGATCCCAAACAACAATAGTAACAGAAAACGGAGGAAGAGAATCAAAGCAGCATCTCTCTGGGCTTCCTGGTGCCGCTCGGCTCTCTGCAGTCATCCAGGTCACAGTTCAGCCATAAATCGACCCATTCGGGTTGTTTATAGAGTCGTTTGCTAGAGTTTAGGAAGTCTTTGCAAACACCATGAAACGGCAGATGGCCGCTCACACAGAGCCTGGTTCTGCTGGAGGTTTCTTCCTGTTCAAAGGGAGTTTTTCCTCTCCACTGTCGCTACAAGCATGCTTAGTGTGAGGGATTGCTGAAGAGTCAATGAGTCGATGCAATCAGCTGGTTTTCCTTAGATAGAAAACTTTGAATCAATCTGACTGGATGATCTGGTGAACTGGAAAGTGACCTGAGATGACATGATGTGAATTGGAGCTATAGAAATAAACTGAATAGAATCAAACATGTGAGATGCTGCTGGGTGTCAGGGTGGGTGGAGGTTTGTAGAGGACCCAAATGAAGCTGAGCTGGTTTCGTGCTGATCTAATAACGAGTGGCGGCAGACTGAAGCATTAATCCAGAAATAACGGAAGGAACCAGAAGAAATGGGAACGAAGGGTTAATGAGGAGAATCCAGCCGACAGCAGAGGAGTAGAAACGCCCAACAGAACAAAGATGGAGCAATCAGCTGATTGGGAGCAGGTGTGGACAGGAGGAACTAGAAGGGAGACTGGCACCAGGGGGCGACAGAGAGTAAACCGGGCTTCAATACAACTAGAAAACAACTAGAATGAGAAAAAATGGAAATAAAACTAAAGACTTAAAAACTGAAGGATGACATATATGAAAGTGTTGAGAAAGGGCCGAACCCTGAAGCCCATCAACCACCATGTTGGATCTCTGTGTTTAAACGGAACGTTCGTAATATAACAGATCACTGCTGATGCTAATCAGATCCACTGAAGCCTGAAAAACGGTCCACGGTGGAGCAAATCTGGTCCACAGTGGAGGAAATGTGGTCCACAGTGGAGGAAATCTGGTCCACAGTGGAGGAAATGTGGTCCACAGTGGAGGAAATCTGGTCCACAGTGGAGGAAATGTGGTCCACAGTGGAGGAAATGTGGTCCACAGTGGAGGAAATGTGGTCCACAGTGGAGGAAACCTGGTCCACAGTGGAGGAAATGTGGTCCACAGTGGAGGAAATCTGGTCCACAGTGGAGGAAACCTGGTCCACAGTGGAGGAAATGTGGTCCACAGTGGAGGAAATCTGGTCCACAGTGGAGGAAATGTGGTCCACAGTGGAGGAAATCTGGTCCACAGTGGAGGAAATCTGGTCCACAGTGGAGGAAATGTGGTCCACAGTGGAGGAAATGTGGTCCACAGTGGAGGAAACCTGGTCCACAGTGGAGGAAATCTGGTCCACAGTGGAGGAAATCTGGTCCACAGTGGAGGAAATGTGGTCCACAGTGGAGGAAATGTGGTCCACAGTGGAGGAAATCTGGTCCACAGTGGAGGAAATCTGGTCCACAGTGGAGGAATCTGGTCCACAGTGGAGGAAGTCTGGTCCACAGTGGAGGAAACCTGGTCCACAGTGGAGGAAATGTGGTCCACAGTGGAGGAAACCTGGTCCACGGTGGAGGAAATGTGGTCCACAGTGGAGGAATCTGGTCCACAGTGGAGGAAATGTGGTCCACAGTGGAGGAAATGTGGTCCACAGTGGAGGAAATGTGGTCCACAGTGGAGGAAACCTGGTCCACAGTGGAGGAAATCTGGTCCACAGTGGAGGAAATGTGGTCCACAGTGGAGGAAATGTGGTCCACAGTGGAGGAAATCTGGTCCACAGTGGAGGAAATGTGGTCCACAGTGGAGGAAATGTGGTCCACAGTGGAGGAAATCTGGTCCACAGTGGAGGAAATCTGGTCCACAGTGGAGGAAATGTGGTCCACAGTGGAGGAAACCTGGTCCACAGTGGAGGAAGTCTGATCCACAGTGGAGGAAATGTGGTCCACAGTGGAGGAAATGTGGTCCACAGTGGAGGAAATGTGGTCCACAGTGGAGGAAATGTGGTCCACAGTGGAGGAAACCTGGTCCACAGTGGAGGAAATGTGGTCCACAGTGGAGGAAACCTGGTCCACAGTGGAGGAAGTCTGATCCACAGTGGAGGAAATGTGGTCCACAGTGGAGGAAATGTGGTCCACAGTGGAGGAAATGTGGTCCACAGTGGAGGAAATGTGGTCCACAGTGGAGGAAATCTGGTCCACAGTGGAGGAAATGTGGTCCACAGTGGAGGAAACCTGGTCCACGGTGGAGGAAATGTGGTCCACAGTGGAGGAAATCTGGTCCACAGTGGAGGAAATGTGGTCCACAGTGGAGGAAATCTGGTCCACAGTGGAGGAAATGTGGTCCACAGTGGAGGAAATCTGGTCCACAGTGGAGGAAATGTGGTCCACAGTGGAGGAAATGTGGTCCAGAGTGGAGGAAACCTGGTCCACAGTGGAGGAATCTGGTCCACAGTGGAGGAAATGTGGTCCACAGTGGAGGAAATCTGGTCCACAGTGGAGGAAATGTGGTCCACAGTGGAGGAAATGTGGTCCACAGTGGAGGAAACCTGGTCCACAGTGGAGGAAATGTGGTCCACAGTGGAGGAAATCTGGTCCACAGTGGAGGAAATGTGGTCCACAGTGGAGGAAATCTGGTCCACAGTGGAGGAAGTCTGGTCCACAGTGGAGGAAACCTGGTCCACAGTGGAGGAAATGTGGTCCACAGTGGAGGAAATCTGGTCCACAGTGGAGGAAATGTGGTCCACAGTGGAGGAAACCTGGTCCACAGTGGAGGAAATGTGGTCCACAGTGGAGGAAATGTGGTCCACAGTGGAGGAAATGTGGTCCACAGTGGAGGAAACCTGGTCCACAGTGGAGGAAATGTGGTCCACAGTGGAGGAAATGTGGTCCACAGTGGAGGAAACCTGGTCCACAGTGGAGGAAATGTGGTCCACAGTGGAGGAAATCTGGTCCACAGTGGAGGAAATGTGGTCCACAGTGGAGGAATCTGGTCCACAGTGGAGGAAGTCTGATCCACAGTGGAGGAAATGTGGTCCACAGTGGAGGAAATGTGGTCCACAGTGGAGGAAGTCTGGTCCACGGTGGAGGAAATGTGGTCCACAGTGGAGGAATCTGGTCCACAGTGGAGGAAATCTGGTCCACAGTGGAGGAAATCTGGTCCACAGTGGAGAATCTGGTCCACAGTGGAGGAAATCTGGTCCACAGTGGAGGAAATCTGGTCCACAGTGGAGGAAATGTGGTCCACAGTGGAGGAAATCTGGTCCACAGTGGAGGAAATCTGGTCCACAGTGGAGGAAATGTGGTCCACAGTGGAGGAAATGTGGTCCACAGTGGAGGAAATGTGGTCCACAGTGGAGGAAACCTGGTCCACAGTGGAGGAAACCTGGTCCACAGTGGAGGAAACGTGGTCCACAGTGGAGGAAATGTGGTCCACAGTGGAGGAAATGTGGTCCACAGTGGAGGAAATGTGGTCCACAGTGGAGGAAACCTGGTCCACAGTGGAGGAAACCTGGTCCACAGTGGAGGAAATGTGGTCCACAGTGGAGGAAATGTGGTCCACAGTGGAGGAAATGTGGTCCACAGTGGAGGAAATGTGGTCCACAGTGGAGGAAATGTGGTCCACAGTGGAGGAAATGTGGTCCACAGTGGAGGAAACTTGGTCCACAGTGGAGGAAATGTGGTCCACAGTGGAGGAAATCTGGTCCACGGTGGAGGAAATGTGGTCCACAGTGGAGGAAATCTGGTCCACAGTGGAGGAAATGTGGTCCACAGTGGAGGAAATCTGGTCCACAGTGGAGGAAATGTGGTCCACAGTGGAGGAAATCTGGTCCACAGTGGAGGAAATGTGGTCCACAGTGGAGGAAATGTGGTCCACAGTGGAGGAAACCTGGTCCACAGTGGAGGAATCTGGTCCACAGTGGAGGAAATGTGGTCCACAGTGGAGGAAACCTGGTCCACAGTGGAGGAAATGTGGTCCACAGTGGAGGAAATGTGGTCCACAGTGGAGGAAACCTGGTCCACAGAGGAGGAAACCTGGTCCACAGTGGAGGAAATGTGGTCCACAGTGGAGGAAACCTGGTCCACAGTGGAGGAAGTCTGATCCACAGTCGAGGAAATGTGGTCCACGGTGGAGGAAGTCTTGTCCACAGTGGAGGAAATGTGGTCCACAGTGGAGGAAATGTGGTCCACAGTGGAGGAAATCTGGTCCACAGTGGAGGAAATGTGGTCCACAGTGGAGGAAACCTGGTCCACAGTGGAGGAAATGTGGTCCACAGTGGAGGAAATCTGGTCCACAGTGGAGGAAATGTGGTCCACAGTGGAGGAAACCTGGTCCACAGTGGAGGAAATGTGGTCCACAGTGGAGAAAATGTGGTCCACAGTGGAGGAAATGTGGTCCACAGTGGAGGAAATGTGTTCCACAGTGGAGGATTTGTGGCCCACAGTGGATGAAATGTGGTCCACGGTGGAGGAAGTCTGGTCCACAGTGGAGGAAATGTGGTCCACAGTGGAGGAAATGTGGTCCACAGTGGAGGAAACCTGGTCCACAGAGGAGGAAACCTGGTCCACAGTGGAGGAAGTCTGATCCACAGTGGAGGAAATGTGGTCCACAGTGGAGGAAATGTGGTCCACGGTGGAGGAAGTCTGGTCCACAGTGGAGGAAATGTGGTCCAGAGTG